GTTTTTTCCATACTGAACAAAGAAAGGAAACTAAGTAGAAGGAAGAAGAAAAGTTCTTAAGGATCCCCCCCCCCCCCCTTTTCTTTCGACCAAAAACTCAATTTTGAGTTGAGCATAAGATACTATAGCCTCAAGTGTTGTGTACAATTAGACACATTAATCGGCTCTAAATACCTTACTATTACAGAGTTACTGAATTAAAGAAATTTTTTTTTCATAGTCATCATAAGGAAATTTTTTTCTTTTTCTTAGCGTATTGCAAAACTACAATTCTCTCAATCTTAGTTGCTTACGACCCCCTTCTAACTTTGTTCGACTAGACTGAAATTTTTACAACTGATACTTGGAAGTATTCTCCAGAGATAAAATGGAGCGTTTTCATTTTTGACATTCCTGCCCAGATTTACAGGATCCTGAAGACTAAGACCTGAGCTTTGATTCCGAACCTTGGTGTATTTCTCTTATAAAAAAAAAGAAAGTGAGATTTTTGAAAAAGCTTAAATTTACCTCTGAGAAATAGTCTTAGGAACCTCAATAAAAATTTTCAGTCCAATCGGATAAAGTTTCAGGGGGGTCGTAATGTGTCAGGATGCGGGCCTCTGGAAAACCAGAATTTTCCAGAAAACTTAGCAAAAATTGACTTCAAAGCTTTTTTCCTCGAACATGTATCTCGTTAGTTTTGATAATCTATCTGTGCTGAAAATTTCAGCTTGATCGCTTGTACCATCTTCGAGAACCAGAAACAGTCAAAAAAGAGGGGGGGGGGTACCCTTAAGTATCCGTTTGAAGTATTTAAAAACTTCTTGACATATAAAGTTGAACGTGTATTTGCAAGTGCACGTACATTGGGTACGATGACAAACACATTTTCATTAAATAGTCAATTAAGAATAAGGAATAGATTATACTAATGACAAACATCAGACAAGAGCTGTTGAAATCGAGAACAATATTTAAGGTCAAATATTGATTAATATGATGCGCCATAATAATTTTATTAAAAAAATGTTATCATATGTGAATATAATAAATTGAATTAATGCTTCTTAATTCCAAATTGAGATATTTTTGTCACCACTTATTTATCCAATGAACCGATAATTATGCATAATAAAGAGGATAAAAGTACCTAAGCATGCTCAACCTTTTCTATCTTTTTTCTATGTTGTTTAAAAAAAAATTAATTAGCTTTATTTACTGACATTCCTTTTACTCAATGAACAAAAAGAATATGTATGAACTTATATGCAGTCAAATGTTTGTCATTTTTCTCATGTTTTGTGAATTTTATGGTGTAATAATTCACACATTGTTTATCAATAGAGGTTAATATTTATTTAATAGTAGTCATTAGAAACTCAAACGAACGCAAAACTTTTTCTATAAAATATTTCATTTGTCAACAATAGAGAACTTACGAATATATGATGTTT